CTATTTATATATTTGTACACAAATTAAGTCAAGACTTACTTTGTCACTGAAGAAGGACAACATTTTTTTTCCATAGTTGTGCATGCTCAGTTTCTCATGAACAAGTTTCTTTTGTACAGAATCTAGATTATACAATATCTGAAAATTGGGCAAATGATCCGATTGTTCAAGAAGCTCTTTATATTAGAAAGGTAAGATTTAGTATGTGTTACCATGTGCTATTTTACAACAGAACAGTATATATGATCAAGATGTTTACAAAAACCTCATTATTTGATAACCAGGGAACAATAGCAAGGTGGCGAATGTGCAATGATGGAATATCCTATGAACCGAATGTAGAAAGTGCTCTTAAATATCATAAAATTTTGATCAAGAAAGGATACCATGTTCTGGTATTCAAGTAAGTAATAATAGTTTCTGTCTTAAGACTTAGTTTGTTCAAAATTTAATCTAATCTATCAACTAAATGTATAAGTTGGTTTAAAATTAATGTAAGAGAATTAAACAAAAAACATAACTATAAATATTTTAATTTGATAAATGTTGTCTAATTATACTTCTTTTCTTTCCAGTGGTGATCATGACATGGCTGCACCATACATGGGTCCTTTAAAATGGATTCGGATTCTCAATCTAACTATTGACGACAATTGGAGACCTTGGCTTGTTAATGGCCAAGTCGCGGGGTTTGTTTCTTCTCTTGATTTATTAATGTTGTTGTTGTTATTATTATTGTTATTGCTTCGTATTATTCTCAAAATTACAACCTACTTTAACCCTTGTAGATACACGGAGAAGTACAAGAAGAATGACTTTGATCTCACATTTGTAACTGTCAAGGCAAGAAAACTTTGAATGTGCCATTTCTTACAATGATTTGAAGAAAAAAAAGTATAAAAGTGTATGTTTTTATTTGGCAGGGTGCTGGACATTCAGCACCAAAGGATAAGCCAGAAGAATGTCTAGCAATGTTCCATCGCTGGCTTTCTAGACGTCCGTTATAGGTAAGGGTAGACAGGAATGTTTTGGGAGTTCATTTATTCATCAATCATGTTGGAAATTAATTCTCTTTTGCACTAAAAAAATTGTGGTGCACGATAGTTATTCGGTGTTAGAGAAATAAATTCCTCCACCGTATTTCTTCTCTTATGTCATTAGTTTTGAGTACTTGAGTACGGATGGATTGTGTTATGCTTTTTGTTTCAACTGTGGTTTTTGGTGATTTAGAAATGTGATATGTTGCTTTGGTTCTTCATATATATAAACTTATTATTTTTAAGAGTAGGGAAGTGTGTGGGTCAAATTTTGGGCTCAACCAGTGTC